GAGATCTGTCTGCCAGAAAGAGCCAACTGTCAAAGCTGAAGACAGAATGTGGCAGCATCGTTTCCGGGACACCTGAGATTTTGAGTGAGATTGAGAGGTTCTATGGGCAGCTGTACACGTCATCATTGGAGCCACACGCAAGTGTGAGTAACGATCCAAGAGCGAGTCTCATCCGACACTATTCCGAAAATATCCCGGACGTCAGTCTGAGCGAGACTAGAATGGCTCTCCAGCACCTTAAAAACGGTAAGGCCCCAGGCGAGGATGGAATTACAGCGGAGCTTCTGAAAGCGGGTGGAAGACCGGTACTTGAAGTCCTTCAGAAGCTCTTTAATTCCGTCCTCCATGGTGGCATTACACCAGAGGCGTGGAGCAGAAGTGCGGTGGTCTTGTTCTTCAAGAAAGGTGACAACGCTCTCTTGAAGAACTACAGACTGACTTCCCTTCTGAGCCGCGTCTACGTGCTGTTTTCGAGAGTCATTACGAATCGCCTCGAGCGCAGACATGACGACTTCCAGCCTCCCGAACAAGCCGGTTTCCGAAAGGGCTTTAGCACCATAGACCACATACATACCCTTCGGCAAATTGTACAGAAATCCGAAGAGTACAATTTGCCACTATGTCTGGCGTATGTGGACTATGAGAAAGCCTTTGATTCCGTCGAAATTTGGGCGGTGCTACAGTCCCTTCAGCGGTGCCAAGTTGACTGTCGGTATATCGAAGTGTTGAAGTGTTTGTACAGTAGAGCTACGATGGCTATCCGAGTACAGAACCAGAGTACGAAACCTATCCAATTGCAGAGAGGTGTAAGACAGGGTGACATCATATCCCCGAAGCTCTTCACCGCTGCATTGGAAGACGTTTTCAAGCTTCTGGACTAGAAAGGATACGGTATCAACATCAATGGCGAGTACATCACTCACCTTCGATTTGCCGACGATATAGTCCTTATGGCAGAATCGCTGGAGGACCTAAGCACTATGCTCAATGACCTCAATAGTGTCTCCCAACGGATAGGTCTTAAGATGAACATGGACAAAACAAAGATTATGTTTAATGTCCATGTCACACCTATGCCGGTAGTTGTTGGGAGTACTAAGCTCGAAGTTGTTGACGAGTATGTTTACCTGGGACAAATAGTCCGACTAGGTAAGTCCAACTTCGACCGAGAGGTCAATCGACGGATTCAACTCGGCTGGGCAGCGTTCGGGAAGCTACGACACATTTTCTCGTCAGACATACCCCAAAACCTTAAAACGAAATTGTACAACCAGTGCGTGTTGCCAGTGATGACTTACGGAACTGAGACGTGGTCCTTCACAGCTGGCCGTATGAGGAAGCTCAAGGTCGCTCAGCGAGCTATGGAGAGGGCTATGCTCGGAGTTTCCCTGCGTGATAAACTTAGAAATGAGGATATCCGCAGTAGAACTAGAGTAACCGACATAGCCCAACGGATTAGTAAGCTGAAGTGGCAGTGGGCCGGCTATATAGCTCGAAGAACCGACAACCGATGGGGAAGAAAGGTTCTCGAGTGGCAGCCTCGTACCGGTAGGCGAAGTGTAGGGCGACCCCCCACGAGATGGAGTGACGACCTGGTAAGGCATGCAGGAAGTCGATGGATGCAGGTGGCTCAGGACCGCGCTTTGTATCGCGGCATTCCTTGGGGGAGGCCTATGTTCAGCAGTGGACTTATGAAAGGCTGTAATGATGATGATGAATGATGAAAGACGGAATGTTACAATAAATCCTAAAATCCAAAAAGTAGCGATATTTAGACATAGCAACATAACTACCAATTAAAAATAATAAGTATGTATACAAATAAAAAAACACGTACCTACCTCGTAAATCAAGTTACACGACACGGGGTAAGATTAAAACACCCGACTTGCTCGCGTAAAATTCACAGGGTAGATATTCCCTTATAACACACAACCGATCCCTCAAAACGACAAGTGCCGACTTAGGTGTGGTACGTAACAAAATGGCGGTCTTATGAATGTTGCCTGCATTGGATAAATTACACAAAATCTGTCTTTACTGATGCCTTTTTGTCTTACCCCGTTTTTCATCTTCCCCCCAGTCACCCCAGTCAATAAAGTTGGTGATGATCTTAAATAAGATAAAATTCTGGGCATGTTTTATCTTTATTATCAACATCGCCATTAAAACTGGAACCGTAAGTGATTTTTTTCAGATGTCGACAAGTTATCAAAATAGAAAAATACTCTTTCTACTGGAGCATTTGTACCAGGTAGACATAAAATATATTCGATTAAAATGAAAAAAAAAAAAATTGTTAAAGATTGTTGGTGCGAAAGAGTTTGAATATTTCCATCCAACGAGTTTTTGCGGAAAGTTTTAAATTATCCCATTCGATTATTTTGGATCGGTTCCGCTCTTGCTTCTTCTTCTTGATAACTGGCTTTACGGCTCTGGGATCTAGCTCTTCTGAGCCTGAAGTTACAATATTATATTATAATAATTATTCTTCATAGTATACTGCTTCACAATATGTTGATACGTCACATAGTGCAGCCCTTGGGAGATTTTGACGGTAACTTGAGCCAGCAGACAGCTGACGGTTGGCGATGGTATCTCAAGGCGCCTAAGCAGACAGGCACCTTATTTTGAGAACCACATCACTATCAGAGCACTTGTTTCACAGTTTCCAATAATAGTTCATATGCGCAGATATTTAATACACAAAAACGCACCACTTTTACATATCAAAGTCCACTTCAAACCATTATTTAAACAATAAAACAGGAGCAACAAACCGCCGCCAAAACTCCCTCCGCTCTCGCTCTGACGTGAGGTCATAGATAAATATATATATGTAGCGTGACGTCTGACAAACTTCATATTTTTAAATTTTCGGAAACGGAACAATTTTGTGTTCCGGAGCTTTGTGGACAACGGGACGGGTGACCGAGAAAAGGGACAGCCCCGTTCAAAATGGGACGTATGGTCACTTTAACCATAATCTACGCTTTACCGAGGATATATCATGGCGAATTGGCGAAAAAACTGCTGCGAGACATATCATGAGATTACATCATATCACATTTTGATTACAAGATTAAGCCTCTCCAGACTCGTTAGCTTTAATTTTTTTTTATTTAATTGCTCTGTCAACCGACAGCTAGCTAGTAAGTAACGTTAGCATCAAAATTGTTCCAGAATATATATTAATATTTAAGACTGCCTTGGACATGTTAACTTACTATAGGGTCAACGGCAGTGCCATAAATAATTTTGGACTATTAGAAAAATAGGTATGGCTTTTTTTGTTAGTTATATACGCATGACTAGCACAGTCCATCCTTTGGGAAGGGGATGTTGTAATAAATAGACTACATCTATCCACGATAAAGAATAAAAGTGCAGTTGCGTTGTCACATCTGAGGACTAAAAAGAAATGCCTCGGTATCAATAAAGAGCGTATCTGGTGTTCTCTAAGCACACGATAACGAAACAGCGTTATGCTGCAATTTAACCCTGGTATTCGATGACGATCGATACGATTACCAATCGTGCCGTGCCATTCATACTACAGCCATAATACACCTGCACCATGGCTCTACCACATATGGTGTAAGGTAGAGAGGGAATATTATCTTTGCGGTGTACCCTAACAAATAACCTCATATTATGTGTAGATAATCTGAACGCATGAGGCTCAGAGCATTTGTTTTCCATTTACTATAGGGTCAACTGCTGTACAAGAAAATCTTTTAACCAATAAGTCATCTGATCTTTTTGCAGATCTATGAGTAGGGGATATAAAAGGTTGACAAAAATGTGTTGAACCCATATATCCAGACCAGACTGATGTAATATACTCATTTGAAAAAAAAGCTAATAATTACAGTGAATGTTGACACCAACTTGAGAGATTACTGTTAGCATTAGAGCTTAAAAGGCCCCTCCCTCTTTATAGCACGTATTTGTAACTATCCATTCTCGGTTCATTGAGCTATCCATTAGTGCTATGTCAGTTACTCTGGTTCTACTGCGGATATCCTTGTAATAGTCCATATAAAAATTAATGAAACTAGTTATTTTTTTATACTTATTCCTACTCTTGGCAAGAATGTGTGCACAGATTATCTTTATTTTCAGAACTTTCAAATTCAATGCGACAATGTATGTTATTTATATTAAGGCTTAGGAGCTGTCTTTTCTTTGAAATATTGCTTTTTTTTATAGTATATGGGTGACAAACGAGCACACAATGCACCTGATGGTAAGTGGTTGCCGTGGCCCATGGACATCTTAATCTATCCACATTTGCGAATCAAAATGCAGATGCATTGTCACTTGTGAGGTGTGAGCAGATGCATTGTCACTAAGATGGAATGCCTCGTTTCCAGTAATAAGGGTCTCCAGTTCTCTAAACTCATCATACGAAACACAGCAGCTTTAACTTGCTATTTTACATTGGTATTCTGTGAGAGCATGGTCCTACTCCGGTCAAGTTGACCCATTTGTGCTATGCTATTAATATAGCTACAACATGGCAGCATTCATTAAATATATAGATATATTTTTTTATATATTTAAGGTAACTATAAATAACAATGTAGCTGCACTGACCCTATTGAAGCCAACCTACCCTCTAAAACACCCTTAATGCAATCTTTCTACAAATCTGTTACAGAATTTAGTAGTTAAGCAAATTTCAGGTAACAAGTTTCCAAAAAAGAAACATTATTGATTTTATACTAGTAATGTAGACTACACAACCTAATAAAATTACTGTGTTCATATATTGATATTGTAAATTAAAAATAATATATTATACATTAAATTATATAATTGCATGTTTGTACAGTGTTAGTCTAATTGACTGATGGTTTACATAGTTTTACGCCATATTACACTCACTTCATCCAATCTGTATGAAATCAATAAAAGTTTACACCAAAATCAAAGTTTTAGTAAGTTTAAAATAAAATAATAAACAGTTTTAAAAAGACATTTTTATTTACAATATTTCAAGATTTTAGACTAAAGTTTACTATTAATAATCCATTCTTGGCAGTGTTTTCTTTGAACCATCTACCAGATTTATGTTCCTGACCCACTGCTGCATACAGCTGTGTACCATCTTTAGTAAATTGCATACAATTTATGAAACCATATGCTTGTATACTAAACATAGGCATTATTTTTCTATATGCTTCATACACTTTCCATAATCTGATATTATTGTCATATGAACCTGATGCAAACACATCAGAATTTAAAAGTGTTGCTAAACTAATAATCCACCTGGGAACATTATTCTCTGAACCATGAGCTTCTGTCACAGTACAGAGTGGTTTCTTTTTCAAAACACTCCAAACACAAAGTGAGCCATTATCGCTACCAGATACAAAATGTTCTTCATCCAGAAGTTTAACTTCATCCAAACTTCCTATAGGTCCATTGAAAATAAGTTGTGATTCCTCGACTATTTTCCATATTCTGACTGTAGTGTCCCGACCTCCTGCTGTGATTGCCCTCTCTCTCGTTAAAGCATCAATTGCAGTTATAGAAGATTGATGACCAAACAAGGTTTCTACATATGCCATTTCATCTAATGACCATATTTTAATTGATCTGTCTTTACTAGCTGAATATAAATCATGTGTATTCCTTCTAAAAACAAGCCCAGTAACAATGTCTTTATGTCCTTTGAATGTGTGTACGTGTTTCATTGAGTGAGGATCCCATATATTTATGCTGTTTGATTCATCTGATGTTGCTAAAAACTTCAAGTCTGATGACACTGCTATTGAGGTAACACATCCTTTAAAATAAATGGAATGTGTTTTAAATGTTAGACAGCCTAATTTTCTCTTTTCTTTAATACCCCACTTAATAACGCAACCTGATTTGCAACCGGTGAATGCCAACTGGCCATCAAGACTAACGCAAACACATGTCAATGATAAACGATGTTCTTTTGCTCGAATCAACCTACAATCGCTTTCAGATGGCACAGTATAACTATCTGCGACATCAACACGTAATTTACCCTTCTGTTCCAAATAATCTTTCTGTAATCGTTTTTCAATAGCATCGTCTAATTCCTTCAACTCTGCTCTTTTTGCTTCTTCTTTTTCAATTTCTTCCAAATACTTTTTGGCTAATCTTAACTTCTTTTCCTCTGCTGTTTCATGATCGCTTTCTGACTCTTCTCCATCAGAAAATTTCTTAATATCCAATTCACTATCGGAAGATTCTTGACCATTTTCTAGGTTAGGCGCGATTTGTTTTTTATGTTTCGTTTTGTTAATTTTCTCACCTTTTCTTTTAAACACTTGTCTTGATTTGCCTTTCAAAAAAAACGATGAAGACATTACTGCTTTTTTATAATAAAATATATATAAAAGTAGATTTTGACGAAACGAAATTTCAAGCACGTTGAATTGGCGTCTGTCACTGTCATTACGAATATGTGTGACAATGACATTGACAATGACAACAGTGTGACCATCTTTAAAATACAGATCCTGCCTTACTTTGGTTAAAAACCTGCCAAATCCTGCCAAAGTCTGTAGTGAAAAATGCCTAAATACTGCCAACTGTATTTACCATTGTCTAATTGTATTAAAGTAAGAAAAATAAAAATACACATTTAAATGCTATTATTTATTAAATTAAAATTAAACATATTTCGTTGGTTTGAATGCAACGCAATCGCCATGCTCACCAATGCCTTGTTTAACGTGCAATATAGACGCAACGTGTTTGTTTATATCTAAATGTGTTTCGTGTTTTTGTCTTAATTAGATTTATTTGACAGAATATTATTTCGCATGTTGAATCCAAACATATTTTTGGAAAAAAGTTCCTTATCGGACGGTACGAATTTGGCAGATGGGGACTAGGCGAGAAATACTGTATGATCTATTCAGTCACGACTCCTTCCGACGTAGTGTAGACGGCCTTGCGAGAAAGGGACATGAAATAATATCCATCTCCCTCGCACCTTTTATTATTTTGCCATGAAATAAATATTATTTTATTTTAAATGACACTTCATTTTAAGACGCTAGTAATACATTTATTTGTATTTGTTAATCAATAATATAATACGTTTATCAATAGTAATACACTACGAAAGGAACTTCGTTCCAATCGAGTTTTCCACGATACTCACGGATGTTTTTTTTTATGTTTACTAGCAGCGGCATGCTCTTTTAAAGCAGACAGCCGGATCTGATTATCTTTAGCTTTGAAGATCCACGATCATAGTAAAGGATCTTACTCCACTCCGCTATAAACGGCCTTTCATATTTTCACTTTATCATCACCACCAATAATTACTATCGTTCACGAAACGTCATTAAGGCGCAGGTTGAGCAAAATGTCGCGCTAGTCGTTATTTGTGCTGTTTTTAGAAGCTATCTACTTTTTATTTAAAAGATATATCAACAAATAAAAAACACATTATATTTCTACATAATCTTGACTCCATAAAAGCTATATCCAATTTTTTTTTAAAGGAATAAATATTAATATAATCTCCTTACAACGAAACCACATAAATGTGAAATTATTATTGATAACATGCATCTCCTCGTAAAGTAAGTATTATTTTATTTTGCGATTTACACCAATGGATAGGCAATTTATTAATGAATATTTCTATAGAATTTTTTTTTTCAAAAGAGCAAAATTTGATTTTATTAAGAATTTATTTTAAAATCTGGGCATATTCACTGCTCACGGGCTTGCTGAAGTCAGTGAGCCCTGAGCTCTTCGACGCGAAGCCCGTGTCGTTAGAGCGTCGACCAGCACATACACTCACGTCATATTAGTCGATAATAATATTACTTATTAGGTTATTTATAGGTAGTATTATTTGTTTGTTTTGGGTATAATTTTTCGTATTAGTTATATATATATATATATATATATATATATATATATATATATATATATTTGTTGTGTTTTTTACTGCGCGATGAAGCTTTTTGCGTGTATTTTCTTTGAAGTAAATGCAAATAAAAAAATGAAGCACCATTAGCATGTAAGGTTCGAATCCATAATTAAAATTTCGACAAATATTATAATTTACACTACAAAAGGCTAATTCAATATTATCACCCAACCACAATATCTTATTAGGTATAGTACCGCCTCGTTGGTCTAGTGGTTGTAGTAGTGCGAGTGCTGATCATGAGGTCTCGGATTCGAATCCCGGGTCTTGTCAAAAAGTCAGTTATGAGTTTTTGGCCCGTTTTTGTTTTTATTTATTGCTTGTTTTTTCTTCTTTTTCAAAAAAAAAAAAATATTGAGTACATAAGATGTTCTATATGCCGAATGTCAGAAAGAAAAGCTAGTACATCTTTTGCTAAACTTTAAAATCTAAAACCAATTTTAAAACAGACGAATTGATCATAACTCCCTTAGCTATAAAATAAGTTATGATCTAATTAATGGTATTTATTCCAGTTTATGGCAGCTCTGATTTATATTACGTGGCTGAAATTAGGTACATCTTATTAGGTACGTCAAACCAAATAACAGCCGGGCGGCTGACATTATGCACTCCATACATTTCTTATATTATCTAATTACAGTCCCATTAATTTCCACTAAAAGAAAATAAATAAGTTGTAAATTCAAACAAAAATAACTGCATTACTATGTCTATAGTCATATTCATACAAATCAAAAAGCCTATATATGAGATAATGTAAAGTAAGCATAATTTTACCGGGATCATAACTTGTCAAATAATTAGGAAAATGATCGTTTTTCGTTGCGTACCTGTTTTGATTTTAACACTGTTAGGTTTAAAACTGCGAGGTAATATTTGAATAAATATAGTTTCCTCTAGGTACAAAGAATTTTTTAGATGAAAATATTTGTAGTTAAGACTACTAGAAATCTTATTTATGGAGTAAAAAGGCGAAAAGACTGCAATTAGGGGCATGACTGGTATTAGGGGCTTTTACCCTAATTCGGTAAAAAGTATCTAAGTAGGTATTAATATACCTACTTTTTACTATAAACTAAAATTTTTTTAAACTAAATTTAACTAAAAAAAACTAAAGTGACCATTTATTTTTTAACTCAAAACAGGACATGGGTTTATTTACACTCTAAAGACTATAACTTTACACAATTAGTGTTCAATATAAAATTATATTCGGTATAGACGGTAATTATTAAATGCAACATATTTTTTTTAATTATTAATTACATTTGTCAGTGGATTAAATTTGCTTTAATAAAGTTGGTGATAATTTTAAATAAGAATAAAATTCTGCTTAAGTTTTTTTATGGTTACCTTTGTTAACAACATCGCCTTTAGAACTGGAACCGTAAGTGTTTCTTTCAGACGTCCACAATTTGTTCAAAATAAAAAATATATTCTTTCTACTGGAGCATTTGTACCAGGGAGACATAAAATATATTCGATTAAAAAAATTATGTTGAAGATTGTTGACTTTGAATACTTCCATCCAACGAGTCACGGGACAATTTTGTGTCCCGGAGCTTTGTTTGGGGACAATGGGACAGGTGACTGAGAAAAGGGACAGTCCCGTTCAAAACGGGACGTATGGTCACTTTAGCTATAAACCGGTGACGGCTCCGTGGCGCACTGGCTTAGCAATCAGTTGTTGCACTGGGGGCCGCGGGTTCGAATCCCGCACGGAACAAGTATTTGTATGGCCTACAATTAATTGTTCCGGGTCTGGATGTTTGTCCTTGTGCAATTTATGTTTGTAAACTGCCTCCACGACTCTCATTCTATATTACTCTCACTCTGCGAAACATCCTATTTATTTATTTATTCTTTATTGCACCAAATATTTGTACAAAAGGCGAGCTATCTATCTATTTACCTATAGTGAGTAGGTATCTTTTAAACTCACAATTTTCAATGCTTCATTTTTAATATATAATTAATTATAAAATTTCATAATTAGATAATATTATATGAGAATACATAACTCTAATATAATGTAACTAATATACCGAATAAAAAATTTGAGATACATTTATCGTTGTACGCTGTGTGTATTTCCATAAAATAGTTTATTGATGTTGAAAAAATACTACGTTCTTACAGTAGGTGGCGCCTTACATATTTCTTACGTGATATTATATTGTAGCGAGTCGGCGCGGCACACCAAATGCTCAAGGTCGTTCGCATGGAGTAGCCCCTTAACAAAATATCGCTAACAAGATTTGTCACCACGAAATCTAATGCGATAACAAAGTCAAACTAAAGTACGTCTCTTCTATGTCTGATTGAAATATTAACCATTAAGTCGTGTTTACGAATACTCGTTTTAAGATTATCAACTTTACACCCATATTTTTAAAGTTGTTTATTGAATGTGTTACAAATATAACACTAGAAGTATAGGGAAATTACCTACATGCTGGCGAAGTACATAGGGTTGCCATTTTCGGCATTTTAAGTTGCCATAATGAAATTATTTTTAATACCCGAATACTGTCAAATACTACCAGGTTTTATAAAACGTCAACCGATCATGCCAGACGCTAAAATAAGAGGCCAATCCTGCCAAAATGGCAGGAATCTGCCACATATGGTCACACTGAATGACAATAAGGAAAATGACCATTCGCTTGACAATATTTGACGAGAATGATTATGACATTTATGTCCAAAAACAATATGTTGCTACTTCTTGATTAGTCGAGACATTAGTTTAGAAGTAAAAATTCAGCTCGAGTGTTGTAACCAAAACAGCAGTTGGTATAAGATGGTTACATTTATTTTAATAAGGGTTAAAGTAATAAATAAATTTCCATGAAGAAAATCGAAACAAACAATCCTAATAATCAATCAATCATCTGTGAAAAATATGCTACCTTTTAAAATATTCATAAGCAAGCTATAGAGTGCGAAATAGAAAGTATGAACAATCGAAATTGCAAGAGCAACGCTCTTGCAATTTCGACGTAATTTTTTACTTATTATAAGCCAGTGCTCGGCCGCAATCCTAAGTGTTGATATAGCCCTAGATGGTAAATCGCACTATCTTAACGTAACAAAAGTCAATCTCTCTTGATTTGAAGACGCCCAGATTTATTCGGATGGAAAGACAGACGCTGGCAAATTATTTCACTCATTTGCCGTACGCATTACAAAAGACGAAGCAAACAGTTTGGTTCTAATGCGTGGAATATCAATATTTGTCAGCAGTACTCCATGCACGACCAGACTTGCGCTTTATATAAGGTAAGAAGCTGCCCCAGCGTGAAGTACCGCCGCACCATTGCAAACACCTAGTTTCCTTGCGGTTGCCTTAACCCTGGACTCAATGCACCGCCCATAGTGTATGTTCGGAGAAAATTCACAGAACGGTGC